AGAATTAGGGAATTCTTTTAAATAAAAAGAATGCAAAATTATCTTATTTTTGCAAATTACTAAAGTACAATACCGAGGGGACATTGCTAGGGCTACTCTCCCGGTCTTGGAAGTGGCCCCACAATTGTGCCCCTGAAACTAGAGCTTTATTAGCTTCACCTTTAACCCCCCTGGACACGTGATTGTACTGGATTGTTTACTTACAGATGCCTGTCCCCTTTTGCTTGGGCTTTTGCTATTCTGTGTACACGGCTTTATATTTAATATAAAATGTGTTGATTTCTGCTACCAGATCAAGAGCCCCAGGTCAAAAAAAAAAAAAAAAAAAAAAAAAAAAAAAAAAAAAAACTTGATAAAAGTGTGGACAGGCCGAAACCGGTTTGGCTCAGCTGTAGAGCAACGGTCTGCAGACTGAAAGGTCCTGGTCAAGGGCATGTACATTGATTGCGGGCACATCCCCGGTGGGGGGTGTGCAAGAGGCAGCTGGTCCCATCCCCGGTGGGGGGTGTGCAAGAGGCAGATGTTTCTCTCTCATCGACGTTTCTAGCTCTCTATCTCTCTCCCTTCCTCTCTGTAAAAAATCAATAAAAAATATATATATTTTTTTAAAAGTGTGGACAAAAAAGGGGGCCGCATACTAACCTCACTGATGTAGGGAAGGCCTGCGTGGAGGTCTTGTAAACTCAAAGACCTAAAGTAACAACAAAGGATGGTCTGATATTAAAACTTTTTAAATTAAAAAGCAGTCTATGGTGGGTAGTCATGTCCTAGACCAGTATTTTCCCTGACAAAGGTCAACTTTGATCTTAAAAGAGCCTATTGTTTTTTTTGGGTTTTTTTTTTTTTTGCATCTCTGATAACATAACTTTGGAATGTCAGGGTAACTTGGAACTTCTCTTTTTTCTGACCTCTCAGGGCACCAGGGATGAGACTACAAATTCCCTCATTGTTACCGTTATCATGTTAATTGTTGACTGCTAACTATTCTGGAACAAAAGAAGCATGTGTCTGTAATTTTACTTTTTACCCAAATTCAGAGGTTTCCCTGCTTTGCTTTCTCCCACATCCCTAATCTATGACCAATGAATTTCATGTAACCTACTTACATCTCCTCCTTGGATGGTAGTTTATAAAAATAGGTGAAAAACCGCCATTCTCCAGAGCATTATCTCAATATGTTGAGATTCTGTTTCCCGGCAATTATCCAATTTGGCTCAAATAAACTCACAAAAATTCTTTGCAGGTTTGTTTCTTATGTTAACTTCCTTTTGTTGAGCACCAAAGTGCCAGGCAGTAAGGTAGATTGCTTACATAAATAAACTAATAATCACAGAAAGCTGTAAGATGCTCAATTAAAAACCCTTGATTCTCTTTGAAACAACCATGAGAAAGTCTAAAATAATAAAATGTCAGTAGAAATCAACAGCTGCTGAAACCTAAGGACTGGGTTTGTTTTCATTTCTCAATCTTGTATACCCAGGGCATTTACTATATCATAGCAGGTGCTCAATAAAGGTTTGATAATAACTTTAATTTGAATCCTTGAACAGATACTAGAAGAATCCATAATTGATTTATATCTATATTATTCAGTTGTTTATATCTGTATTAAGAGTTGTACTAGTGGCCCAGTGCACGAAATATATGCACTAAGGGGGCAGTTCCCTCAGCCCAGCCTACACCTTCTCCAATTGGGGATATCGCTCGGCAATCTGGGTTGGCTGACTCCTAACTGCTCACCTGCCTACCTGCCTGATCACCCCTAACTGCCCTCCCCTGCTGGTCAATTTGGTTCTAATTAGTCAGTTTCTATGTCAGTCAGTGTCAATAGCTTCACCTCCTAGGCAGCCATTGGCTCTTCACAGTTGACCCAGATTTGCTTCCAATTGGTCAGTTTCTATGCCAGTCAGCGTCAAAAGCTCTGTCTCCTAGGCAGCCTCTGCCTCCTCATAGTTGACCCAGATTTGGTTCTGATTGGCCAGTTTCTATCCCAGCCATTGTCTCTGGGCCTATCAACAGGGCCTTATAAGAAAGACAGGGCTGATCAGCAACCCAGGTAGAGGCCTGGAGAGAAATAGACACAGGATGCTGGCCAGGCTTGGAGGGAAAGAGAGAGGCAAGTGCTGGTCCAAAGCTGCCTCAGACGCTACAGATAAGCTTCTGCTTCTTTCTTCAGGTCTCTTTCAGGGCCTGATTCTAAGCCCCCTCAGCAGTCACTGCTGGGTCACAGGGCCTGCAGCCTCAGTAGTCAGCACTAGGTTCCCATGGCAACCCAGCCCTGATTTCCAGATGGTCAGCCTTTGATCTTGATCAGTCCTTACACTCTGGCTCTTTATTATAGAGATATGTGTCATTATGAATTGTGTATTATTTCTGTATTAAGAAATAAGAACATTACCAGAAAGGGGACCTGGCCCTTAGCAGGTCTGCCTAGGGCTGGACAATAATGTGTGGGTTCTTGACTTTATGCAAGAAAACTTGTATATGATTACAGGTGAATTTTAGAGGACCTTTATTGAAGCTGAGAACAGGGAAGGGCCTAGGATAACAGAAGAGGGACTAGGTGAAGAAATGAGCCTAGGCAGTGCTGCTTCAGATCACTAAGAAGTCGGAGAAAATGGGTCCTTGGCGACATGATGATTTGCCCAGGATGAACTGCCACTGCCCATTGCTGCCCTAGCTGCAACCCTCTGGGGTCCCTTACAGTTTAGGAGATGCGTGCCTGTAGGGGAAGATCAGGGGAAGGGTGCTTCTGGAAGGGAAAGCACTGCTGGGACCTTCCAAGTTTTAAAGGCTTGGAGTTTATGGGTAATCTTAGGGGAGGATTCAACAGAATATTCATTACTTTTATGTTGATGTGCCAAAATGATATTTATTCCCTTCATATGTCCTTGGGGATGGCATATGACACTAATTGGATTTCTGCTATTTCCCTGTGCAGAGTGATTTAAGCTATTTATCCTCTGGTTGGGGAGGCAAGTGTCCTGGTTTAGGGAAGTGTCCCTGGTTTAGGGAAGATAGGATTTACCAAATAGCGCCAATACTGCTTGTTTGATTTGTCTCAGTTTTCCTGTTCTGCTTGACCCAACTTCTTAGCCTGTCTAAAGAACTCACATCCAAGTTGTGTCATCATGAGAAGCAAATAGGACAGACAGCCTCAGACAATATTGCAAAAGCCAGTTTTCCCACTTAAGGAACAGCAGAGAGTTTGGGATGGGTGATATTTTCTTCAACCCATGCTTTCAAAACCAACCAGCCAGATACCACTGCTTAAGAACAGGAACAGACGGGTTTGGCTCAGTGGATGGAGCGCCAGCCTATGGACTGGGAGTGGGGGTGGGGGTGGGTGTCCCAGGTTCATTCTGGTCAAGGGCATGTACCTGGATTGTGGGCACATCCCCAGTGGGAGGTGTGCAGGAGGCAGCTAACCGATGTTTCTAACTCTCTGTCCCTCTCCCTTCCTCTGTGGAGAATCAATAAAACATACTAAAATAATAATAATAAAACAAAAATAAAAACAAAACAGGAACAGAACTGAGAGGCTGTCACTTTCCGCCGGGCAGGCCAAGCAGAGAAAGGGCTTCACGGTCTGAGAAAGGAGCCCATGCACAGAGTTTCTTGGATCTCCCTCAGCTACGAAAACAACTCTTATGGGTCAACCTCTTGCCAAAAGCACCCGCTGCTTCGGGGGGCTGTTGGGAGCTGTGTTTGTAGTCACACTGCTACCAAGGATCCCCGGTGCTACGCAGCCTTGCAAGGTGGCTGTTCTTCCCAGTACCTTTTCCCAGCGTCCCCCGCCCGCTCGCCTGCGCCCAACATTCCTATGACGTCATGGCTCTCCCTAGCACGCGAGTGCTACCGCGCATGCGCGCATTCTTTCTCTGACGTCAGCGCCCCCGCCGCTACGAGTGGCGCCTGCGCCTGCGCGGGAGCAGCTGGCGAGCCGGCTTCTGAGTTGCGGCTTTGGTTCGGCGGCGGCGGCGGCGGCGCCCGGTGGGCTCGGCGTCGGTAGGAGTTTGTGGGGCGGGGAGGTCTGGGCCGGCGGAGGCTGGACACGTGGGGCCATCTTGCGTCCAGCGAAGCGCACACGTTCATTATTCTTATTTCTGGGCCAAAAGCTGTCGGGTTCGGCCGCCGCCTGGAGCCACAGGTGCGGCGTGCGGGCCACTTGGGCGACCGCGCGGCTCTGGAAGCGGGACGTGGGGCTCGGGCGGGACCCCGCTCCCGGGACGTCCGGCCAGGGGACCAGAACCTCCCCCGCGTTTGCCGCTCCGGAACCGCGTCGGGAAATAATCGCATGCATTCTGATTCCCAGGACACCCCACCCCTCACGGGGATCCCCGGGCTCAGAGAGGAACGGGGTGCGTCCGGGGCCAGGGCTTCATCCAGGATCCACTGGCGGGTTTTGGGGGGGCAGAGGAGCGAGGGGGACCGCTGCAGTGATTTTGTAGGCGTGTATGTAAGACTGTTATCTATATGTCTATAAGTGTCTTCATCTGCAGCTACATTTCAAGATTGGTATGAAATAATTTGAGTCTTTAGGACTTGCTGAGGGAAACTGACTTTGAGACCGTAGAGAATCAACAGATCCATTGAGAACTGTATACTGATACTTGGTCATTCAAAGAAGTATTTTTTTTTACATACTTAATTTTAACACACATTATATAAATTATAAAAATAAGGTGGAAGGAGAGAACCACAGGCTTGGAGGGAATGACTTTGTTTCTCTTCTTACCCTTTGACTGTCCTTAACTTACTGGCTTTCTCTTCCCACTGATTTCTTTCCGCTGAGGTTCTTCCCGCCTGTCACAGAGTGCTGCGGGCACCCGGGTCTGTCTCCTGCCCAGGAGACACTTCAGCCTGCCCAGGATTGCAGGAGGAGCTTGACTGGTACCAGTCACTTTCTCTCCAATAAAATAGCACTGAATCATCCCCGATGGCCACACACTTGCTAGTGTGTTTTGTTGTGTCTCCTGGGCAATAGAGGCAGCAACTGAATGGGTGAGTCATTGTGTACTAATTACTTTATCTTCATTCTCTTGAAATCTTTGCTTCTTGTCCACAAATGTCCCTCTTCTTATCTGCCTCGTATTTTTAATACTTGTATTTTAAATATTTGTTTGGATCGGGGATTTACTCAATGCCGGGTACTGTGGGAAGCACCTTAAGTAAATTATCTGATGTCCTTATCTTAATTTCTGCAGCTATTAATAACCCCAGTTTACACTTAAGGAAACCGAATCTTAGAGAAATTAAGTCGTCGCCCCATATCACACAGCCTCTAAGTGTTGCAGTGCACGCTTGAATTCATTTATTGGACTCCAGAGACTGAACCCTAGCCATAAACTTTGTGGGTTTTTTTTTTTTTTTCCAAAAATTGAAAACTTAAGCTAAAATAACCCCAGAATCTGGAAGATAAAATTAGAGTGCATGTAAAAAGTAGTGGAAATCCTAACATTGTATTAAAATACAATTTAAATGAGTAAAAATATTTGTTCATTTTATACTAATTTTGGAATTGTTATCTATTTAGCAGTCTTACATGCATGTGTGTCTTCATCTATAACTACATTTCAAGATTGGTATAAAATAATTTGAGTCTTTACGACTTGTTGAGGGAAACTGACTTTGAGACCATAGAGAATCAACAGATCCATTGAAAACTGTATACTAATAATTGAACATACAAATAAGTATTTGTATAATAATTAATACAAATTTTATTATACAAATAAGTATTTGTATAATAATTAATTTTAACATACATTATATAAGTTATAAAAATAACATTATATATCAAAATATACTGGCTCGAGGGAGCATGTTTTGAGAGGTAGGGCAGTTAACATAACCAGGTGGTGCATTCAGTTATGCAAATGAGACACAGTGAGGAAAAGCAGTTAGAATATTCAAAGATAAAAGAATGTAGTCTTATGGGTTTATCTCTTGATCTAACTATCTTAGTAGAAGTGGGCTTTTTCTTTGTCAGGAATTAGCCTGAAAAATGTGGCTTTTTTCCCTAGAGGCCAATAAATGGCTGTTATGAATCTTTCTTGGTGCAGTCATAGCTGTTGAATATTTTTAACCTGAGTGCCTCCAGTGTGTGTGTGTGTGTGTGTGTGTGTGTGTGTGTGTGTGTGTGTTTAGTAATTCATTAAACAAACAGACCTATGCCTTGCTAATCACCAATGCCTTGCTAATCACCAATCACTTGTGGCACAAAATGCAGCATGGTTTCTGATCTCTAGAGATTGACAGTTTAGTCAGTGTGGTACAGCAGTTAGCCATTCATTTCTTGTGCTGGGTAACTTAGCCTTGCGCTCATAGGGTATTTGATGGTTTTTGTTGGCAGGAGTGGGGAGTTTGTGGTCTCTGTACTACAGCAGTTCATCTCATCCCGTGTGACACCGTTCTGGGCTATCTGGAATGTGCCAGGAGGTGTCTAAAACCACTAGATAAAAACAGAAGTCTGTATTTATGGAGCACACATTTTTACTTAAAGTCCTTTGAAAAGTGACTTATATAGTTTAAACCATAGCTCTGTTACCTTATAGATTCTAATAAAACTTGCATGGATATTAAAAATGTGAAAAAAAAATTCACATTTGTCATGACTGCTTTAGGAAATATTCTAGACCATAGCACAACAAGGTCCTTTCTAACTTTCTTATTTCCTTTCTAACTTTAGAAGATACTTCAGTGAAAAGCTCTGTGCTATGACACACTGTTATAACTAGTTCCCATTTGTCCCCTTTTCTTTATAGGGTGTATGCTCTCTTAAGGCAATTCTATTGTATCTGCCCATAGCACTGTGCCTCGTTCATGTGCAGTCAGTGAATTGGTGGGTGGGTGGGTATAATGGGCAGGGAATATGAACAAAAAAAAAAGTGTACTAATGAATTCAAATTTATAAAAATGTAAGCAACTATGTTAAAATATAGAACTAAAAGAGACAGGTTAAGCCAAGATTTCATGGGGAGGGTATTTTGAGTTGGGTTTTTAATTCCAGAGTGATTAGGCATAGCTAGCAGTGAAGGAGTGGAAGTAAACTTTGTTTGTCTGAAAGAAGATACCTTTTCCTCCTTTTGTGTGTGTGTGTGTGTGTGTGTGTGTGTGTGTGTGTGAAAGGTTCTGTCTATATAGAAGCACATACTTCCTACAAAGCTGAATTTCATTCAGTAAGTCAATTATTTGTTGAAAACATCTGTTTTAAGAAGTTTATTTCTGGTGCTGTGCCTGACAGAAAGAATGGAGAGATATAAGAAGTTCAGAAATATAGTGAATTGAGCCTTATTTGTCATTATCATTATTAGCAATCATATTTTGCATTATGTGCTAATGAATGGAATAATTTCAATAGAAGCTGTAATTTAGGGAGTAAGAAAATTAAAATAATTAAATTTAGTGTTGTAAATTACAGAGAATGGGACTACTAATACTTTTGATAATAAATACCAAATAGAATTAAGATAAAATGGTTGTTATTAAATGTAGAGATTAATGCTATAATGCTGCAAATAATGTCTTTTTAATCTATTTTCACTTGGCAAACATATGAACCAGGTATTCTCTTTAAAGACTTTACATGAAATATTTAGTTGAATTTTATCTTTTACTTAAAGTTACTCTCTTTTCTGTTTTATTAGTTGAACCAGAGGATTCATCCATCGCTCCTATGGCTGCCTCACAGACTTCACAAACTGTTGCATCTCACGTTCCTTTTGCAGATTTATGTTCAACATTAGAACGAATACAGAGAAGTAAAGGACGTGCAGATAAAATCAGACACTTCAGGGAATTTTTAGATTCTTGGAGAAAATTTCATGATGCCCTTCATAAGAACCAGAAAGATGTCACAGACTCTTTTTATCCTGCAATGAGACTTATTCTCCCTCAGCTAGAAAGAGAGAGAATGGCCTATGGAATCAAAGAAACAATGCTTGCTAAGCTTTATATCGAATTGCTCAATTTACCTAAAGATGGGAAAGATGCTCTTAAACTTTTAAATTACAGGACACCTACCGGAACTCGTGGAGATGCTGGGGACTTTGCCATGATTGCATACTTTGTGTTGAAACCAAGATGTTTACAGAAAGGAAGTTTAACCATCCAGCAAGTAAATGACATTTTGGACTCAATTGCCTCCAATAACTCTGCCAAGAGAAAGGACCTAATAAAGAAGAGTCTTCTTCAGCTAATAACTCAGAGTTCAGCACTTGAACAAAAGTGGCTAATACGAATGATTGTGAAGGACTTAAAGCTAGGTTTTAGTCAGCAAACTGTGTTTTCTCTTTTTCATAACGATGCTGCTGAGTTGCATAATGTCACCACAGATCTGGAGAAAGTCTGTAGGCAACTGCATGACCCTTCAGTAGGGCTCAGTGATATCTCTATCACTTTATTCTCCCCCTTTAAACCAATGCTCGCTGCAATAGCAGATATTGAGCGAATCGAGAAGGACATGAAAAACCAGAGTTTCTATATTGAAACCAAGCTAGATGGCGAGCGGATGCAAATGCACAAAGATGGGGATGTGTATGCATATTTCTCCCGAAATGGATATAAATATACGGAACAGTTTGGTGCTTCTCCACAGGAAGGTTCTCTCACACCTTTCATTCATAATGCATTCAGAACAGATATACAGAATTGTATCCTTGATGGTGAGATGATGGCCTACAATCCTAATACGCAAACTTTTATGCAAAAGGGGAGTAAGTTTGATATTAAAAGAATGGTAGAGGATTCTGATCTGCAAACATGTTATTGTGTTTTTGATGTATTGATGGTCAATGATAAAAAGCTAGGGCATGAAACCCTGAGGAAGAGATACGAAATTCTTGGTGGTATTTTTACACCAGTACCAGGCAGAATACAAATAGTGGAAAAAACACAAGCTCATACTAATCAAGAAGCAATTGATGCTCTGAATGAAGCAATAGATAAGAGAGAAGAGGGAATCATGATAAAACACCCTCTATCCATTTATAAGCCAGACAAAAGGGGAGAAGGATGGTTAAAAATTAAACCAGAGTACGTAAACGGCCTCATGGATGAACTGGACATCATAATTGTCGGGGGCTACTGGGGTAAAGGCTCTCGGGGTGGAATGATGTCTCATTTCCTGTGTGCTGTCGCAGAGAAGCATGCTTCCGGCGAAAAACCATCGGTGTTTCACACTCTCTGCCGTATTGGCTCAGGTTACACCATGAAAGAACTGTATGATCTGGGTTTGAAACTGGCCAAGCACTGGAGGCCTTTTCATAAAAAAGCTCCACCGAGTAGCATTTCATGTGGAACAGAGAAGCCCGAAGTGTACATTGAGCCTTGCAATTCTGTCATCCTTCAGGTCAAAGCATCAGAGATTGTTCCCAGCGACATGTATAAAACTGGCTGCACTTTGCGTTTCCCACGGATTGAAAAGATCAGAGAAGACAAGGAGTGGCATGAGTGCATGACTCTGGATGACTTAGAACAGCTTCGAGGTAAAGCTTCTGGAAAGCTGGCATCTAAGCACCTTTATGTCGGTGGTGATAATGAACCCCAAGTCAAAAAGCGGAAAGCTGCCCCCAAAACTAAGAAAGTTATTGGAATCATTGAGCACTTAAAGGCACCGAACCTTTCTAATGTAAACAAAGTTTCCAATATATTTGAAGATGTGGAGTTTTGTGTTATGAGTGGAATAAATGGCCACCCAAAGCCTGACCTGGAGAACAGGATTGCAGAATTTGGTGGGTACATAGTACAAAACCCAGGCCCAGACACCTACTGTGTTATCGCAGGGTCTGAGAACATAAGAGTGAAAAATATAATTTCTTCAGATAAACACGATGTGGTCAAGCCTGAGTGGCTGTTAGAATGTTTTAAGACCAAAAGCTGTGTGCCATGGCAGCCTCACTTCATGATTCATATGTGCCCGTCAACAAAAGAACACTTTGCCCGTGAATATGATTGTTACGGTGATAGTTATTTTGTTGACACAGATTTGGACCAACTGAAGGAAGTCTTCTCCGGAATTAAAGATCCTGGTGAGCAGACTCCTAAAGAAATGGCCCCTGTGATTGCTGATTTAGAGTGTCGGTATTCCTGGGACTGCTCTCCCCTGAATATGTTTCGAAACCACATCGTTTATTTGGACTTGTATACCGTTATTAATGACTTGAACACCAAAATCGAGGGAACAAGATTAGCTATCACAGCCTTAGAGCTTCGATTTCATGGAGCAGAAGTAGTTTCTTGTTTAGCGAAGGGAGTGTCTCATGTAATCATTGGGGAGGATCATAGTCGTGTTGCAGATTTTAAAGCTTTTCGAAGAACTCTTAAGAGGAAGTTTAAAATTCTGCAAGAAGGTTGGGTAATTGATTCAATAGACAAATGTGAATTACAGGAGGAAAATCAGTATTTGGTTTAAAACTTGTTTTTCTAGTGAGGAAAGCATCTGATTTGACCAACCCCTAACAGGTGATAATGATAAAATATTAAACTAAATTTTATTTTTATCTCAGTAGCTATGCTTGAACAATGTTATTAGATATAGGAAAACAATTTTCACTTTTAAGGTAGACAAGATAGTGGCCTGAGGCCAAGAAAGAAGAAATTATTTTAGCAATGTAGTTGATGATATTTATAATTAAGATGAAAAAAGTTTAAAATAAAATATTTTTATGTAATATTTCTATAACAATCTAGAAGTTTGACTGAGATATTAATAAAATACGTGTTGGAAGTTTTAGAGTCAGAATATTGACCTAAACAGGATTTTCTGAATTCATAATAGTTTGTATTAATAAAAGCATTTTAAGAAAAAAGCAGAATTGTTACAATTGGACTTGTAAAAACAAGTCTTTTAAACTGAAGATGAATTTTGAAAAAATGTGAAATGTTGTAAACAAGTTTATTTTTTAAGGTTAAGGTCAAGCTCATGAATAAGACCTCGATAGTGATATCATCAGCTAAATTAGCAAAAGTGGAATGACAATGTACTAAAAACTTAAATTAGATCAATATAAATGATAGTCACACAATGATTTTTCTAACTATAGTTCATCTCAGAATGGCATGTGTGTTGTAGCTTTCACTACAGAGAAATAAATTGCCTTGACTTTTAATATTACTATCCTTGGGTTAAAGTGTGTATTGTATGGTATATATTGTGTCTGGATTTCTATACCAGATTGTGGAATATAGCTTACACATTTTGAAAAATATACTTTCATGACACTATTGAAATACTTAGAATTTACTACCTGAGAAATGGTGTATTGGTTATTTATAAATAAAATAGAAATGTTACCCAAACAGTGGAACAAATGTATCTAATTTTATTACATTTCCTAATTTAAATAAAATATTTATATGCTATTGAAATGATTTCTTATGGTATATTTATTTTAAAGTAATAGTTACTTCAGTCAGCTGTTATGGAATCAATATAAATATTGATTAATTCAAGTCATATTCCTATTTAAGGTCATTTGTATTTTATATTCCTTAATGAGTTTTATTTAAAAATTAAACTTGTATATTTTTATAATATCTACTGAGAAAAATTATAAACCACAGATAAATGAAGTGGGGGAAAGCTATATAATTTTACCATTTACTATTTTAGGTTATTGATGGAAAGATTAGTGCAAAATATTAACATTATAGTGTAAATAAGTACAAAACAAACTAGAATGCTGTATTTGATCAGCTTTTCTCAATACATTTTAAGTCTATACCTACACCATTCTTAATTGCTGGACAGTATTCCATTGACTGTACTGTAATGTATCAGGCCAGCCCATTGATTCACTTTCAGGCTATTTTACCATGCCACCTCCCTCCCTTCTCTTTTCCCTCTGAGCATTTTTTTCCCCCCTCTGAACATTTTTTAAAAAAATTTTACATAGTGTATATATACAAGTCTTGTTCATTTCTTATACATTCCTAGAAATAGAATTACTGATTAAAATGTATTTTCTAGTGACTTAATACACATTGCAAAATCCTGGCAAAAATGCCTTTCAAGATTTTTCTCATCTCTAAATGTTGGAGAGTTCAGTTACCTAGTGCTGGACCTATTCTTTATTTTTATTCATTCCATACGCATTCTCATCCTGTCCCATGGCTTTAAATGTGCTGATAACTCCCATATTTTTCGCCTGATTTCTTTGCTGAACTCCAGTTCATGTATATCTAACACATCTTCATGAAGTCTGATGTGTATTTATAAGCATTCTTTTAAAAGTTTATTATTAAGATATTAATAAATATTATTACTCAACAATTGTAAATGCAGAAGACTGAATGGTATAATAAACCTGTATGTGCATATCATCCTGTCTCAACAATTAGCAATGATTAACCTTTTTTTTTTATATATATATATATTTACAGAACTAGATTATTTTGAAGTAATCATTGTCACATAATTTCATCTACAAAAAGTGTACGGAAAGATAAATATAATTAGAATACAAAAGATAAATGTTATTCTAATTAAAGAAATAGTGGATTACCCCAAAAGCTATGTTGTACAGAAAAAAAAGAGTACAAGCTTTAGAATCAAGTCTTCCTAGGCCTCAATCCCACTTCTAACCAAGTATCATTTTGAGCAAATCACAAACTCTAAACTTTAGTTTCTAAACTTTCAAATAGAAACAATGCCTGTGTCAACCAGAATGATTGACAAAATGAAAGCAACCAGCATATAGAAAGGGCTCTTCGGCTTTTATCTGCTGTTCTTACATAAGCCTCTCCCATGAGGTTGATAAGTGAGTGGATTCTGGGAAGGTAAGTGGAATTTCATCAGTCATGGTGCTATGGAAGGTTTTTCCTGGCAGGGGGAAGACATTATAAGTAAAAACATGAAGAGTGCAAAAGTGTGGGAGGATATTTGTAAAGTAAATTTAGGTGTGAGGTGGTATAATAGGTAAATAGATCAGGATAGATTTTAAATGCCACACTACAAAATATGGGTGGTATCTGGAACTCAAAAAAAAAAAAAAAATGTACTGAAGAATTTTAAACAAGATATTTTAGGCTCCTACGGTTTTTTGATTCCCCCTGTCTTCATTCAAGCTAATACATGGAGTGGCCAGATTATTATGATTTCTGAATGCCTAATAATCTGGCCACTCAGTGTATGTATGTGTGTAAATATGTATTAGAGGCTAGATGCATGAATTCGTGCATGGGTGAAGTCTGACCAGCCTGGCCAGGGGAAGGGGACATGGGTGGTTGGCCAACCTGCCTGCCTGCTGGTTGAACTGGTTGAGGGGACAATTTGCATATTAGCCTTTTATTATATAGGGGCCAGATTATTATGTGTTCAGAGATCATAATAATCTGGCCACTCAGTGTATAATAAAGATAATACTGACTGGGTGGCTTAAACAATAAACATTTAGTTCTCATAGTTCTAGAAACTGGAAGTCCAAGATCAGGGTGCCAGCAAGGTGGGTTTCTGGTGTGTGTACTCTTCCTGGTTTACAGATGGCTGCCTTCCTGCTGTATCTTCCTGTGGTGGAGAGAGCTCTGGTCTCCTCATTTGATAAGGGTACCACTCCCATCATGGGGATAACAGGGCCTCATGAACTCATCTAAACATAATTACTTCCCAAAGACCGGACCTCCAGATAACTTCACATGGAGGATTAGTGTATGAATTGCAGAGGGACACGGACCCTCAGTCCATAGCACCCCGTAGCCTTTTAAAAATGTAAGCATTCACAAATATGAGAGTCTTGTAAATTGTAAGCACTACTCTGGCATTTGAGCAAACAGCAATAAACAAAATGGGCAAAATTCCTGCCTTCATTTGTTTCACATTTTAGTGGGTAGGAGAGAAAGAATAATAATAATTCCTTCTTTCTCTGGTTTTCTGATTCTCCCTCTTAGATGCTGTCTCCCTCCACATTTAAACAAGTCTGTATTTCTTTACTAATATTTTTCACATTACAGCATTTTAAAAACATATTTTTTATTGATTTCAGAGAGGAAGGGAGGAAACATCTATGACAAGAAAACCATTGATCAGCTTCCTCCTGCACACCCCACACTGAGAATGGAGCCCCTAACCAGGCACGTGACCTGACCAGGAATCAGACCTTGACCTTCTGGTTCATAGGGCCACGCTTAACCACCGAGCCACGCCGCCTGGGCCGCGTACAGCATTTTAAGAGAATTGTCCAAAATGCTAGTTTCATTTCCTGGCTTGTCTATCTTAAAATTACTTATACAATTTTCTTAAAAAATAAGATGAAGTGATATCTCTGTTTCTACATCCCACAAATGTTAGGAGCGTGTTGGAGATTCTGTTAAGGGAACACACTTACATAGTTTCCATCAAGAAGAAAAGATAATTTTCTGAAGAGATGAATTTTTGTTCATTAGATTCCAAATATGAGTGAGATCATGTGATACTTGTCTTTCTCTGACTGGCTTATTTCATTTAGCATAATACACTCCAGGTCCCTCCATGCTGTCTCCAATGGTAAAAGATCCTTCTTTTTTATATAGCTGCACAGTATTCCATGATGTAAATATGCCCCAGCTTTTTTATCCACTCATCAACTTGGGCAATATTTTTTTTTAAAGATCAATGTTCTATTTTCAGCCTTCTTTTTCATGCTACCCTCTCTTGTCTGAGTGATTCATTGGTTCCTACAGCTTCAAGTATAGAAATACCAGTTTCTTAATATGAAACCCATAGACTCTAGAGGTCCAGGGCAACCCCGAAGATTCTACCTATATCATGTTTGTTGGATAGCAAGATCTCTGGAGCAATACTGCCTGCGTTCTCTGGAGCAATACTGCCTGAATCTCTGCTTTAGGTAGGCAAGTCTCTCCATGCTTTCATTTGTAAAATGGTGGTACTTTCCCCAGACAGTTATTAGGAGGACTGAATGAGTAAAAATACATGAAACATTTAGAAAAGAGCCTGGCACATGTCAGGCCCTATAAAAATGTTAGCTGAATGAGGAGTGTATCTTTACTTTTACCTCTACCATTGTGACTGTCTTTGTCACTCTCTGGGTTCAGATGCTAATACGCTGGAATACTACTGCAGCTTTCTATCTGCTCTCCCTGAGTCTAATCTTTCACATGGATAATGTTAATGAGGTTTGAGGGAACTATGTGGAACCAATGAAATCCCTCAATACCCAATGAGTAAAACATGGAGAGAGGAGATTTGAGGAGCAGAAAAGAGAAAAAATGCCTGCAAGAGTTGATTGGTTGAGAAAGTAAGAGAAAGAAAGCAAAGAGAAAGAAGTGGAAAAACTGAAGAGAGAAAAAAAGAAGCAGCATGGTAGAGTGGAAATTATGTTGATTTTGGCAAAAAAAAAAAAAAAAATCTGAATTCTGATCCCAGATCTGACCCTTTAAAGGGCCACATAACCTCCTGCACATTGTCTGATATGTCCA